GATCACATCGGTGCCCAATGGCGATGTCGAGAATCAGGAGCAGGACGATCAATCTTCACCCTCGTCTAACCGCCTCGTTCCTATGGGAGCGACGACCTCTTCGGTGTCCACTGGCGATGTCGAGAATCAGGCGCAGGACGATCAATCTTCAACGGGATTGGAACCCGCGTCGCACCGTTTGGTTCCTATGGGAGCGATCCCTTCGATGTCCACTTGCGATGTCGAGAATCAGGAGCAGGACGATCAATCTTCAAAGGGATTGGAACCCGAGTCTCACCGTTCGCTTCCTATGGGAGCGATGACCCCTTCGATGTCCACTGGCGATGTCGAGAATCAGGAGCATCTGCAAGCTGATTTGGTGGAGGCTCATCCCTCCTCGGACGGGGATTTGTTGGTGGTCGAGGCACGTGCACGTTTCTGCTCTGAAGTTATGGGTCTTAAGCACCTGGAGGTTCATGTACGAACGTGTAATTACCGTCCCGTCGAGTGTTCCTTCAAGAAAGATGGATGCAAAGCTATTGTTCAGTCTCTCTATCTGGAGCTTCACGAGATATCTTGCCTCTTCAATGTCAGTACACCTTTGTGTGACACGTGTGGCTTTCGTATAGGCGCCATTGACTCCATGGGCAACCACCTTGCAAACAATTGCCTTCGACCTTGTCCGTACAAGACGTCCGGCTGTCGAAGTCGGATGGACTCTGGTGATCTGGATGAGCACGTCGCCACGTGTCCTTTCAGCAAAGTCGTTCCTCCTCCGGTTCTTGATGATCTCGGAGCGAGGCCAGAATCTGACCCTGATGCGACGGCTCCGTACAATGCATCTGGCTGTCCAAGTAGGATCACAGATTGTCGTGGTAATCACGATGATCACGTGGCCACGTGTCCTTCTGGAGGAGAAGTCGCCACGTGTCCTTCTGGAGGAGAAGTCGTTCCTCCCCCGGTTCTTGATGATGATGTCGGAGGGGCGCCAGAATCTGATGACGGGACCGGGACTGATTCCACTCTGTCCCAAGGGGACGAGCCCGTTCAAAAACCGTCGGGATCTCCTCTTCCTCGTAACTTGTCCACCCCGATCCGGACAGACAAGGTGCGCGGGTGCAAGGCAGAGAGCAAGGACATCGGACGGTGGTGGGGCCCTTGGATACGTCGGGGCGGAGATCGCCGACCAATCACGAACAACTCGCGTGCAATCAACTGGTACAGTCTGATCAAATGCCCCTGCGGTGAAATCTTAGTACGGAAGTAATTCAGTAGTTTATTAGTAGTATTATTATATTGCTTTCCTTTTTTTATTTTTATTTTGGAGTTCGATATCCGTTGAGATGGGGTAGGGGGGGAAGGGAAGGGGAGGGGAGGAAGCGGGGGGGGTTGTACTACCCCCGACATAAAGCATATGGGTTGTAAACAAATACCACCGCATTAGGTTCCTTTGTAATCAAATACAACGCACATGGGTTCTATTCGCACAGCACCCGTTTTTTTTTAATTCCTCGAAAACTCGAGTACAACGCATACGCGTTATGTTCGGGGGACGACGCGTAACTCTTTGGTAATGCATTAACCGGAAGTAAGGAATCAAAGGAGAGGCCAAAGAGGTCTCCTTTGGACATTGCAGTAGGACTTTCGCGAATGAATTTGGTCAGTATCTTGTGTAGTATTCTGTACGTTTGGACATTGCAGTAGGACTTTCGCGAATGAATTTGGTCAGTATCTTGTGTAGTATTCCGTACGTGCTGCAGGCGATCGGGGCGAGTCTGTTGAGATGGTCCCATTGGGAGATTACAGTAGCATTCTGTACGTGTTTCAGGCGATCGGAGGGAGTCTGTACGTGCTGTATAGTATCTACCTGTGCTTACCTTAACTTGCTTGCTCCCTTATCCGTTTCTTTTTCCTATCTGTTTTCCGCCGATTAGAATACACAGTCATTACCGCTGTATTCGAATAGATCGATCAGCTATTACCGCTGTATTCGAATAGATTGTTCAGTTATTACCGCTGTATTCGAATAGATTGTTCAGTTATTACCGCTGTATTCGAATTGTATTCAGACTGAATGCTCCCCTAAAACCAGCTACAACGTTTCTTTCAATCCCTTATCCGTTTCTTTCAATTGCTTCTTCCTGTTAAGGCCCAAACGTTAACGGACGTCCCAGTGTCCCACCACGCGCGTGCGCTCTGGGCGTCATCAAATAAGGTAAAGTCAATCGTCATTTGCGGGCGTGCACGCGCCCGTAGTAGCCTAGTAGGTAGACAAGTGCCGACTTTGGTTAAGAGCAGGGGAGAGCATCGCTGTAGGCTTGAGCATGTTCTTGGTGTGCTGGCGCACGTGCAGAGAGGGGGGTGGTCAGGCTGAGTTAGATCATAATACGTTGAGCATCAGAAACAAAATGGGGTTAAAAATTATTGCCCCCCGATCGTCTTCCCTGGGGGTATGTAGTACTGGCCCCCCTTTTTTTGGGCCGGCCGAAACCAAAAAGGCTTGCATGTGGGCATTTTCCACCAATTACCCCAAGAAGAAAAATAGACATGCTGAAGGTCACGCAGCAAGGGTCGCCAACCGACTATTAGATGCAGTTTGTGCACCCTACCGTCTTCCCCCGAACACAACGCACCCTTATTTTGCCTGTATTTGGCCGGAAATATAAGTTGTATACATTCATTTTTAGGGTGCGTTATGTTCGGGGGAAGTCGGTAGCGTACAGTCGTAGCCTTTCCATCGGAATCTGGTCAGGTTTACCCGACTGATGGAGCTTTCGCAGTCTGGTGACAGTGGTGAGGTTTCTTTCTTCATGAGGTGAAAGCAGGAGAGAGAAGTCCAGAGGGGGGACCACCACTCGTTGGCGAGAGGCATTCCTGAGTGGAGAGAGTTGGTAGCGGATGCAGGAGTGAAATAGAAGGCCACCAAGGAGCGAGGGAGACGAGGATTGCAAAAAAAAAAAAAAAAAAAAAGTCCGCCCTGACAGATCTTGCAGCATGGAAGTCCCGGTGGAGAAAAGAGAGTCGAAAACCTCAAAAGAAGAAACGAATTGCCGCTGTCAATTGCTCGTTCGCAGTCAAACTTGTTGACGTGTTTGACTTCTAGACTTACGTGATTGATGTTGTGTACCGATACCTTTTCTCCTCTTTTTTTTTTGTAATAGCGATGCATGTAGTCGGCTTTTGTAAAAGCGATGCATTTAGTCGGCCCAGGAGGTGCAGCAAAATGCGAAAATGCGGTGGCAGGAGCGACGGTAGGGCGAAGTTAGGGGAGTTGAAAAGGCGATCATGGAAGTGCAAATGAGCATGGTATTATTGAGTGACAAACGGGAGATGACGTAGGTTCTTCTCATCAGTTTTTTTGTTTTTGTTTTTGGGGGTTAGGGGGGGGGGGAGGTGGAGCTGGGAGGGGAAAGATAAGGCTGTAAGTAAGTAATTATCTCCCGTTTTTAATAAGCCCGGATGTACATCGACAGGTCTGTGCATTCCGGCGCAAACTGCTGTCAGTGGCAAGGAGGAATGGAGATGGGGATGTCTCATCGCTCTGCTGCTGACGAATAGGAAGAAACCAAAACGTGTCGGACTCCACAGGGATTTCAGCAGGAGAATCTGATTGATTAACCAATCGACCGATCAGTGGTTTTTATACTCTGACCGATGGACTGATGTATACTTCAACAGATGAATCTGATTGATTGACCGATCGACCAATCACTTGATCTACTTGACAAATCGATTGATTGATTGATTGATTGATTGGTTGATGGATTGATTGCTTGATTGGTTGAT